ATATATATATATATATATATAATTAATAGGTAAGTATGTTCATCGTGCTTCCGTCTGTGTTCTCCTGATGTCCTTGTGACAGACAGCACGTTGGTAAGTCTCAAAGGGTCCAGCACAGCCATTGTCTGAAAAATAGGTTAGTCAATCTATTTCTCCCCTTGTCCTTTCTGCTTCTGAATTACCTTTGGACAGCAGTTTGGTAGAACATAGTACCCACTAGCAAAACACTGCAACACATTCTGAATCTGTGTAGAAGTAGGTGAGTGGGTCTGCACTTTTATTAAAGTATCTAGGGAAACAGAATTATTTCTTCATTGTTGAAGCACATAGCTACCGGGGAATTTCCCTCATGGTAAGATCTGTATTGGATTCATGGTCCCATGAAAGCAGCAAGGCCAAGAGACAGTAGAGTATCAAAACAATGTTAATGGTCTTGCGGAAGACTCTTGTTTTACCTGTTCTTGCTAGTAGCTAAGAAAACTGCCTACCTTATGCTTTCTCTGAGTCGCCTACAGTTAGGCTTCCTGGAGAAAACAGTCCAAGGTCATTCAGGTGAATGCTGTATATTTCATTGAAAGAGAGTCAAACCAAAGCTTAGGTCATGCAAAGAAGCTTTAGGAACTTCATACCTTGCCTCTGGATGTCAGCAACCGCTTACCTGATACACTCCAGCCACAAATGTCAAGGCTGTAGCAATGCCAATAGCGTAGCATTCTTTCCCACACTCAGCATTCATCCCTGCAATTGTAAGGTTGAAGGCAGTTCTGTTGGACTGACTGTCATTCTGCAGAGAGCCATCACCCAAGGCTGATGGGCCATCATCATTCAAGTCAAACCCAGCCAAGAGAAGTTCTCGGTCCACAACTTGTCCCACCATTAAGCTTATCAAGCTGAAAATGCCAACCGAGACATGACGGGATGTGCCCATTAAGAAATAGATGATGTTGGCAAAGAATGATGTGTAAAGACTATAAATGGGCTTCAGACCTGCCAGCAGTGAGTATGCAATTGCTTGGGGCACCAAAATGATCCCAATCACTAACCCAGACATAACGTCCCCCCAAATGTACTCTTTGCACTGGTACTTGGGAAGCCATCGTAAAACAGGAAGGAAGTCCATGACAAAGTTCTTCAGCTTCTTTGGGGTGCAGGAGCAGCTCTTCTTCAGCTTAGCTAGCATGATTTCTTTCCTATTAATCTTGACACGAGTCTTTCTTTCCATGAGAAAGCAGGAAGAAGTGTTGTTTTCCATCCTGGTAGCCTCAAATGGTTTTTCCATTGTCCCAGTGTTTACTTCGTGTATGTGTTCCTGCAATGTGAAGAAAATGGCTGTTAAGTTGCAGTTCATGAAGGTTTTTTTAGCACAGATGCTTAACACTGAAAATTTGTCACCTGACTGTGCTTTTAAGGAAGCATCATCCCAACAAGAACGCCACCGTAGGGCTCCAGTGACACATAACACTAAGAAATAAATGTGCAGATTGAGCCCTTTCTTGCAGACATTTAAGAGTACATTTGATTGAATCTAGTTTGTTTTACTAAGGAAAAATTGAGTTAAATTAGTAATTTCTTTATACAACAAATATTTCCATCAGCTCTTCCAAATGCTCCATCATAGAGGTCTCTCTGATCAGAGACAGCACTTGATGGTGTGAAATAAACATATACTAGTGAGGTAGGCTATGGTGTTTCTAACAGTGCATTTGCAGTCATTGATGTGGAACTCACATGTAGTATAGTGATCTGTCACTGCAGCTGTCCTCAATGCACAGGAGAAAAATTTTGCTAGTAGAACCTGTAAAGCAGAGTTTTCTGGAGAGCGACAATTTAGTCTTGTGCAAAAATTTGTACACAAACCATTGATGGACTCTTAGAAGCTGCTACATAACATGAATCTGTTGAATTGTAGATTGTTTTGATGTGCAGCTTCCATTAATTAATAAGCATCTCCTCACAAATACCACTTTGACACCATATGGACCATGCACCGTGATGGAGTCTGTTACCATCTCAGAAGAGTGCTACATGTTAGTATTTTCAAGTTTAAACCCAAAGTTACGCTGGCTTTGCTCTCCAGGGAATAAAAGATAACAAGTAGTTCTGTGGGCAGCAGAACAAACACAGCAGTGTTTCCTATGGTTCTCCTGTATGTCAGTTTTCTGATACATAAAGACTGGGAAAATTGGTATTCTCCAGATGGAGGTGCTTTTGGTGTCTCTTGCCTCTGTGAACACAACTGTTTTCACCAAACTCAATCTCTGCATTTTTGCTCAATTGTCAAATTAAGTTGAAATTAGCTTAGTGCATTCATAAATCATTTGGGCGTGGGTGGGGACATGACTGAGAGGCAAAACAGTATAACATGCAAGTCCCCTACTGTAAACAGTTTAAAAACAAAAATAGGAGCAAGAAGGTGGAAAATGTCAAACAGACTATGCCAAGTGGCAAATCTGTCAAAGCTTGTCTTCACTTACGAGTAAAAGCTGTTTCTTTCCTCTTTCAGTATCTAGAGACAGAAGCCATACCCATCAGTTTCCTAAAACTGGAAGTACACTCACTGGCACAGTATTCTGTTGGTATATTTTAATAGTTTTAACAGTTAATGGTTAAGTTTAGACTCTAGTAGCAGAAGTCATCATTCTCTGTGTGAATTTCATACTTGTTTTGTTTTGTTAAGAAGAGTATTTTGGTTTCTTAATGTTTGATAACACCCAGTTAAAGAGTAGAATTCCAAGCTGAGAAAAAACAAAGGGTTTATGAGTCCAACTGGAAGCAAAAGAATAAGATAGCGTAAGATTTGATAAGCAAAAGATTTGATAAGCAAAAGAATAGATTACCAACAGCCTGTGAGCTTTCGATCTGTAGCACTCCAAATGGAGAGTGGCTTATTATAAAGTCGTCTGTCTAGCCTGTTTAGAAATTTTTTTCAATATTTTAACAAACCTTTTGCAAGCAAATTGAAAAAAATAAGATATGTATCTGCAAAACAAGTTCCCAGGTATTATTTTAAATGACCCAGTCTGATTTCTGAGGCCATGCACAGTTTAACTACAGCTTGAAACAGGATGTTTAGGTGTTACAGGTACATAATTTGTAATTTGGTAAAAGGCAGAGAAGAGATTCTTCTTAGAGATGTGTGGACTGATTGTCCAAGTTGAAAATGACCTGCATAGTAGTCTAAATATATTTCAAAAAATCAGTAGATTTCCATCCATCCCAGTTACATTAAATAGATTTTAGCTCCCACTGTATAAGTTTCTTTATGTTTGTAAGTAACGTTTATTTCCATCATAAGGGAAAACTAATTGCAATTTAATGTAATTATTTAGAAAGATTGATGGCTATTTTTTATCAGTAATGCCAAATTTACTTTAGACTGTAACGTACTGCATGGTTAGGCAAGATCTGCATGGACAGGAAATAGGTTGGATCTAATCTTTGTTAGAATGCAAAGGTGAGAGAAAAGAGAAAAGAAGTTACGACACCAAGAGAAATACTTACGAGCGTATGATTAAAGTTTACCACATATAGAATGCTAGCAACTGTAATGAAGGCACTCATTTTTAAGATGCAAAAAATCAACACTTCCTGTCTTACCTAAATTAGTTTGGAGAATGAGAGGCTTGTGCGTGAGGACAGCAAATCCTGTTTGAATGCCACCCACTTTTTATAGCCAAGTGAATTCAGAAAGCCAAGAAATAAATACGGTGCCCTTGTTCTACATACTTAAAAGCCAGTGGGCAGTTCAATATCCAATGAGTGCTTTTGATAGGCTACATAAAAAAGATTGCATTGGCTTCCACACACTGGGCTGATATGTTTAATTGTACAGTTTATGTGTCTGTCTCTCTAAACTCACGCAATTTACTTGCAAGTGAATTTGTATTTACAAAAAAACTCCATTAAAATTCACACATATGCATTGTTTGTGCAGCTTCATGAGGGATGATACTAGTTTTTAATACATAAGATTACTGGAATATAATTTCTCTGGAAATCTGTTAAGAGATCCTGTGTATGAATGATAATTTAGTAATATATCTCGGCTGTATTGCGTTACTGGATAATCAGAATAGTAGCTTTTTGTAAAAGCCAACCAAAAAAAAAGCTAGTATGGTAAAGCATGTATCTTTTCAGCAGTTTTGATGCATTTTAGACAAAGGTCAAAAAAACCTTCCTGGTGGAATAAATATGTTTAAGCTAAAACACAGCCAAATGCTGACAGGAAGTAATTTTCTTCAATTCTTTTTTCTCCTGAAAATAAGGGTTTCCTTTCTGTAAATAACCATTTATTCTGCTAGATACATTTTCAGAATCCATGTCAAATGAACATGCTAGCTGTAAAACACTCAGCTCTAAAACAAGATGTTACTGGTTTCCAGAAGCTGTTAATGTTTAATTGCTACTTTTAGAATATAGTAAGGCCACACCAAATAATGGAAGGGACGTTGTTACCAGCAAAACATTCTTCAGCTGTGTAACCCAAGGATTCTCAGTCTGTGATGCCGGTAGCTCAGTAATAACTTAGTTGCTTCACCTGAAAAAAATGGGATTCCACTGTGGCTGCATGCGCTCGGCTGTACGTTTGTGCAGCCTAGCAGAGAGCTGGGAGCTTCCAATGCTCTTGCTTTCTCCAAAGACATGAGGGTGGAGAGCAGATCTGTCTACTCCTGTGCACATGAGCAGACTCCGGCTTCTGATTCTGGCACTGAGATGCAACACCATCCTTCCATAGTGGTAATACTTGAGCAATATTCAGGACCCCTAGGGGTGTCATTAAATAGATTCCTCTACTGGTTCGCCAAACTGACCCATTTTCAGCTCAGTCCATACTAAGTGGTTTATGAGAAAAGAGGCTCCCCCTTTCCCCCCAGAGCTTCACAGAACATAATGTTTGCATTTTATTCAAGTGAAGGCTTTCCCATCACTTGCTGAAAGAGCTGTTCTTAGCAGAGATGCGCAAATGAAGCAGTATATAGCATAGAACGTGTCTATCATTGTATTTGACTTTGGTATTAGAACATTCTCGACTGTTTGATGCAAGTGAAAGTTACTTGCGAGCACATTCATATACATATGTATCATCCACATCATTACAACAAAAAGTAGTCTTGGTTACTTTTAATTGTATTTTGATGTTTGGAATCTTCACAGTTAAGTTTTTGACCATATGAGCAAAAGCAAAAAGCTTTTTTTTTTTTTTCCCCCTACATAAGCAGAACCACTGAACCACTCATTCTTTCAGGTTAAATGCACTGATTCAGTTTATCGTGTGAAAAAAGAGAAAGAAAGCAAAAAACCATTCAAGCCAAACAAACTGCCAACTCTCCAACTGGCCTTAGTCCCACCTTTCTTCCTGTCTTTTCACCATGCCACTGACTTGGCAAAATCTCTCTGCAGGTGAGGCAACATTCATCACAACATGTTCAGTGGGATTTCTCTTTGCAGATTCCTTGGCAAGCAGTTTCTGTTGGTACACGTATAACCATTCTGGCTGGATGAGTTGTTCTTTGTGAAACAGCACAATGCAAAAAGTCTTTATTCTGATGCATCCTTTTGTCTCCCCATCCTGATTGTCCACCAGAAAATCTGAAGCTGTATCTCTAGAAAGCCCAAGAGGGAGTAGGCAGGGTGAGCCTGCCTCTCTATGCTAAGGAGATCTCTTAAATGCTCTATTTGGGACAGAAGTCAGACAGTGTATCACAACTCTATAGTAGAATTGCTTGCTCTTGCTGAAATAGTGATTGTAAGTGTAAGTTAGGATAGAGCCCTTTATATAGCTTGAGCCAAGTGATGCTTGCAGTTTTCTCTATGTTTGAACTATGAAAAATCAGCTAACAATTAATGTGGGTAGAGCAGGTTTTGTATTTATCATCTGAAGTTTCATTGTATTTTTGTTGCATAAATCACAGAAAAACATGAGAGACATCAGTTTAGCTAAGCATTTGATTTAAAACACTTGTAGGTGTTGCGTTAAACTGTTCATGTGACTCATCTTTCATATCAGCAACCTTTTCTGCCTATAAGGAACCTCTCTTGGTCTCTAATGGCTATGACTACATTACTGTTTGGGTTTTGAGCATTAACACAATTCTTAAAAAAATCCCTGGTTAGCCTCATTTACAATGCATAGATTCAGTGTACAGAGGCGTATTATGCTTGCAAACCAGACTTTTTTCAGAGGAAAGTACCCAGAAGCTCTGCCCCAGTGCACTCTGACCCTTTATGGTGGCATGAAAACCCAAGCCAGCAATTGGTTCTTTGGACAGATTTGGACAG